AGCGCTAGGAACACCCAGCGCCCACTCTGCAGATGCCTTCCGATGCCAGGAGTTCTGTGGCCGTCACCTGCCTCATCCTGAGCAGCCTGCATCCTGGACCTGAGTTGGGGGCCATGGGTGAGGCAGGGCAGGGGCCCTGGGCCCGTCTGCAAGGAGTGGATAGCTCTGAGCTCCTGAACAGCACCCCCCCGCTCCCCACGACGTCCCAAGTGCTACTCATGAGGAAGAAGATGCAGTCGGGCAGGGCTGGCCTGGGATAGCGTGGCCAGCAGTGAGTGGACACAAGAGGTAGGACACAGGGACACGCACTCCAGTGCAGCCTGGCCCCCCGCCGGGACATGTGCCTTGCCAGCCCTTTCCTTCCGCTGCTGCGAGCTGCGGTTGCTGCCACCCAGTGCACAGACCCTCTGGTGACCAGCCCTGCCAAGCCTTTGGCTTTCGCAGGAGGGACTTTCGTAAGCCCCAGGGTCTGGCTGGGACACAGGCCCAGACCTTGGGTCGCCAGGTTTGTGCTCAGATAGGCTGAATGTTCTGGGTCCATTTCTTACTCAAGCTTAGGAGAAAGCATTTGCTTTGCAGAAAAATGTCCCAGGTGCTGTCTCAGTACACAGGGATTCCTCTGGCGGATATGCCGGGACCTCGAGTTCTGGAACTGAGAAGCTGGTGTCAAAGGGCAAAGGAAGCAGTTTGGGCCAACATCCTTGCGTGGCCCAGGAGGGACTAGCACGCTGTGAGGTCAGAGTCCTCCCTCCTCAGTCAAGATTTCCTGGGCTTGCTGCACGGAGGCTGCTGACCTGCCCAATTTGGTTGCCGGTGGAGCCCCAGACCCCACAGAGGCACCCGGTCCCAAATCCACAAGCTAGCAAACAGACTAAAGAAAACCCCTGGTGAGCACCTGTGGCCTCGGGGGCAATGGGGCCTCCCACTGTGACCGGTCCCACCCACCTCAGCCCTGTGTGCTCTCTCCACTCAGTGCAGTGGTTCGTGCTCTTATCATCTGTCTCCCTTCTCTCAAACACAAGCAGCCATGCTGTGGTCACACCTCGGTGCCTGGCACATAGCTAGCAGGAAGCCAGCAAATGTCTGTGGGATGGTGGATGGATGGATGGATGGATGGATGGAGGACAGATGGAGGGTGGATGGTAGATGGATGCAGAAGGAGACATTCAGTACACTATAGATGCTACAGAGCCTGGCTCAGGAGAAGTGCAGGGCAGAAGGAATTTTACTTCCTCCCAATAAAAAGAGTACTGCCTTTTACAAAGAGAGCATTAGCTATTCTCCACACTGACCCCAAGAACCGTTTCCTTTTGTTGCATGTGCACAAGAAAGCAGAGCTGGCCTTTGGAAGCTGAATTAATGGAGAAAGATTCCATCTTCTTAAAATAAATTCAGCCCCTTGCTAGTCCCCTTGAAACCGACTTGAGAGCTGAAATGGATTAGTAACCCAGGCACAGCCTCCACGGCATTTCGCAATGGTCACATCACTATCCTGCCGCATTTTGAAGTCATAATCGTCCCAGATCTCTAAGAGACCCGAGGAAATGAGAATGACAGTGGGAAATGATGCATGGCACCTGCCATCAGATGACCGTGGGAAACGCTTCATCTTAAAAAGGGGGAGGGGATGAGATGAGGGCATCTGTGGGGCAGGGGCACTGCTGGAGTTGGCTTTGAGTCCTCTTGGGGGACAGGTGTCTTCAAAGCCAACTTCAATAAAACACTCGCCTCTGGAGACCAAGGGTCCCCTCCTTGCTCCGTGGGGTGGGGCTGCATTGAGCCTAGAAGCCGAGGCTCTTTCCCTGTCGTCCCCATCGTCCCCATCGCCCACGTGCTCTCTCTCGCTCAGGACAGAGCACCCGGCTGCAGCAGGGCCCCTCGCTGGGTGGGCTCCCACACCCACCCAGCTCTCCACCGCCCTCAGCACTGACACCCGTCCTGGAGAAGGGGCTTCCTGCAAACTTGGGGCCACAGGAGGGGAGGCAGGAGGGGCTGGGTCAGTCAGTCCCAGCAGAGAAAAACGGGTGGTGACCCGTGGGACCCCCATTCTCAGGGAAGGCAAAAGAGTGGGGGGTTGGCACTCTGGGGTCATACAGGCAGAGTGCAAAGCTGGGCACCCCACCTGACATAGAGGACCTGTTACCCAGCATTCCTGTGCCTCGGTTTCCCCAACACAAAGGGGAAAATAATGGCCAGTGGCACAGGATAACCGGGACACCGCCTCTTATTGCCTGGCAGCTTGGTCCCTGCAGGCGAAGGTGAGGCCATCAGCTTTCACAGCCAGTATTTGCCAGCTGGACAAATGTCCTTCCTGCAGGGCCTACTTTAATGACAAAAGGCTGTGACCAAGGATTTGGAGGGCCACATGTCCCACAGCAGCCTGGCCTCCCCCCAAGAAACTGGAAAACGAAAAGACGATAAAAAGCAGCTCAGCCTGGCCTCCCTGCCCATTGCAAGGCAACATGGAAAAGCACTGGAGGTAGTTGGGGGGACCCTCCCTCTGTGGGCCTCACCTCGAGACCCCTGGAGAACTGCTTTCAATAGTGCTGACCCCCACCCCAGACTGACTCAGGAGAACGGTGCTATGTGTGCATGCTGACATGTGCATGCACTCACGTGCAGCTGCATGCCAGGGAGAACCTGCGGTTCTGACCCATGCCCAGCTGGTGTGCGAGAGCTGGCCACACTGCCAGAGCTTGCACCCCGTTCCCCCACTTGGCCCATCCCACACCCCCAGGCACATGAGGCACACGTGAGGACAGGTCTCCAGCACGGCATGGTTTTCACAGCACAAATGCCCAAAGACTCTGTCCATCAAGGCAGGAGGTGGTGAATTCGATTCCTGTGCATCCTGACCTGGGGTCCTGTACACCCACAAAACCAGCCCTGGGGAGCCAGGGCCTGAGGTCTCCCCTCAGCCATCACAGCTGAGTTTCTCACTCCCTCTTCACATCCCAATAGCACCAAGCAGTGCCAGGGCCACCCTGTCACCCACTCACACAGCTCATCCCACTGCGAGGCAGGTGGGATCCTGTGGGCCTGGCAGCCCCCCACGTTTTGGAACAAATCCAGCTGCCGACCAGAAGGCAACTCATGCAAATTCAGGAGTAGGATCATCAGATAAAATACAAGATGCCCAGTTCAATCTTAACTTTAAATAATGAATAATTTTTTATATAAGCGTATCCCATGTAATTTGGGGGACATAGTTATAGGGCAAAATTATTCATTGTTTACCTGAAATTCAAATTTCACTGAGCATCTTCTATGTTTATGTTAACTCTGGCAACCCCAAAAAGAAGCCAACCCCCCCCCCACACTGGTGAGGAATGACCAACAGCTGAGCCTGGCACCCCAGGGCTCCCCACCTCGCCTGCGCCCAGCTTAGCTCTACAGGTGACGCGGTGGGGACAGTAATAGTACCAGGACAGCGCGCTGTGAGGATAAACAGAGCTGACCACAGAGCTGACCCCCCTCCCCCGCCCCTGGGTAGGACAAACATCCTGGGGGGCATCACAGGGATTTCTCATATGCCCCTTGAGAAGAATTGGACTTCCTTTTCAAAATGCTGTGACTGGCGACCTCTGGGTGGGCCAGGTGCCAACGGAACAAGCCTTCACTTGGTTCCTGCCTGCACATTTCTGAGTCAGGAGCCGGGCCCTGGTTTGGGTCCCAACAGTGGGCGGGAGACGCCCCCTAGAGGTGAGATGTGTGCGCTGCAAGTCCTGGCTGGCGCTGGAGCGCACATCTCACCACCCAAGCTGGCAGCGCTTGGGGGGGGGGGTCCCCAGGAACCTGAGGGGAGGAGGCTCTCCACTGGAAGAAGGCAGGGACGGGGTGGGGTGAGCAGAGAGCGAACCCGGCAGACGAACAGGGCCCCCAAGGTGTCCAGGGCGCAAGGTAAAAGCCCCTTGAGCTTTTACCGCAGCTAGTGGCCCTGGGCCGTTGAAGAATCCTCTCTGGGCCACCTCCCCCTCCTGGCATTGTGGGGACTGGCATTGCCAGCAGCCTCCTTCACAGTTGACCCGGCTTTGCGTCCACCCGGCTGTCCCGGGGAGTGAGGCTGACCAGAGACCGCACCGGCCAACGAGCAGCGCTCAGCAGCGTGCCTCCATCTGGTTACTACGAAGCCTGAGCCGTGTCGGGACACAGAGCGGACGGCTGGCAGGGTAGCCCACCCTCATCAATAATACACCTGGGATATGCGCCCTTGCCGGTCCCATCGCACGCAGGAGGAGACTGAGGCCTAAAGAAGCTCAGAGCGTTGCTCACTCGCAAGCCGGCGGGCCGCAGAGGAAGGGGACCCGGAAGCCCAATCGAGAGTCTACACGGCCGGGAGGTGGAGAGCGCAGTGCTCGGCGGGCTCCGCGCCAGAGCATGGCGGGGGCGTGGCTTTGCGGGAACGGGGCGGGGACAGGCGGGACAGGGGCGGAGCCGGAGGCCCTGACGGGCCTTGATTGGGCGCTGCCTTGAATTCGTCACCGGGCTGCCGCCAAGTTAGCGGCACGGCCCCGGCCCCGCCCCCGGTGCCGACCAGCCGTTAACGCGCACTCGGGCCCCGCCCCCGCCCCCGCCCCAGCCGATCCCGGTGCGCAGGAGCTCCTCGGTGCAGCGCTCAGGCCAGAGGTCAGCCTGACGCAATCGAAGCCCTTTTAAAGCCCACTCGCAGACTTGACAGTTGCCTGTTCTTTTTTCTTCTTAACCGCTTTATTGATGTGAAATTTGCAGTTCCGCCACTTACGCTCGGTGGGGTTTACCCAGAGTTGTGCGGCCAGCGCCACAACCTAATATAGAGCGTTTCCATCCCTCTCCTCAAATCCACTCCGTTTCCGGAAGTCCGCGGGGCCTGACGGTACTGCGCGTCAGGATCGGGCCGACAGAGGGCCCGCGCGGCCAGCGGACAGCGCGGGCGCCGGCCGGAATCCACTCGCTGCTGCGCCTGCGCCGCGGGCGAGCCCGAGCGCGAGCCCGCCGCGCGCGCTCTCCCCGTGAGTGCGCCTGCGCGGAGCCCGTGGCCGCGCCCGCTCCCACAGGGGGCTCGTCGCTGGGCGGCCGGGCTATGGGGGAAGCTGAGGTGGGCGGCGGGGGCGCGGCGGGCGACAAGGGGCCGGGGGAGGCGACCACCAGCCCGGCCGAGGAGACGGTGGTGTGGAGCCCCGAGGTGGAGGTGTGCCTCTTCCACGCCATGCTGGGCCACAAGCCCGTCGGTGAGCGGAGCGCCGCGGACCTGCGTGGGGTAGATGGATGCAGAAGGAGACATTCAGTACACTATAGATGCTACAGAGCCTGGCTCAGGAGAAGTGCAGGGCAGAAGGAATTTTACTTCCTCCCAATAAAAAGAGTACTGCCTTTTACAAAGAGAGCATTAGCCATTCTCCACACTGACCCCAAGAACCGTTTCCTTTTGTTGCATGTGCACAAGAAAGCAGAGCTGGCCTTTGGAAGCTGAATTAATGGAGAAAGATTCCATCTTCTTAAAATAAATTCAGCCCCTTGCTAGTCCCCTTGAAACCGACTTGAGAGCTGAAATGGATTAGTAACCCAGGCACAGCCTCCACGGCATTTCGCAACGGTCACATCACTATCCTGCCGCATTTTGAAGTCATAATCGTCCCAGATCTCTAAGAGACCCGAGGAAATGAGAATGACAGTGGGAAATGATGCATGGCACCTGCCATCAGATGACCGTGGGAAACGCTTCATCTTAAAAAGGGGGAGGGGATGAGATGAGGGCATCTGTGGGGCAGGGGCACTGCTGGAGTTGGCTTTGAGTCCTCTTGGGGGACAGGTGTCTTCAAAGCCAACTTCAATAAAACACTCGCCTCTGGAGACCAAGGGTCCCCTCCTTGCTCCGTGGGGTGGGGCTGCATTGAGCCTAGAAGCCGAGGCTCTTTCCCTGTCGTCCCCATCGTCCCCATCGCCCACGTGCTCTCTCTCGCTCAGGACAGAGCACCCGGCTGCAGCAGGGCCCCTCGCTGGGTGGGCTCCCACACCCACCCAGCTCTCCACCGCCCTCAGCACTGACACCCGTCCTGGAGAAGGGGCTTCCTGCAAACTTGGGGCCACAGGAGGGGAGGCAGGAGGGGCTGGGTCAGTCAGTCCCAGCAGAGAAAAACGGGTGGTGACCCGTGGGACCCCCATTCTCAGGGAAGGCAAAAGAGTGGGGGGTTGGCACTCTGGGGTCATACAGGCAGAGTGCAAAGCTGGGGACCCCACCTGACATAGAGGACCTGTTACCCAGCATTCCTGTGCCTCGGTTTCCCCAACACAAAGGGGAAAATAATGGCCAGTGGCACAGGATAACCGGGACACCGCCTCTTATTGCCTGGCAGCTTGGTCCCTGCAGGCGAAGGTGAGGCCATCAGCTTTCACAGCCAGTATTTGCCAGCTGGACAAATGTCCTTCCTGCAGGGCCTACTTTAATGACAAAAGGCTGTGACCAAGGATTTGGAGGGCCACATGTCCCACAGCAGCCTGGCCTCCCCCCAAGAAACTGGAAAACGAAAAGACGATAAAAAGCAGCTCAGCCTGGCCTCCCTGCCCATTGCAAGGCAACATGGAAAAGCACTGGAGGTAGTTGGGGGGACCCTCCCTCTGTGGGCCTCACCTCGAGACCCCTGGAGAACTGCTTTCAATAGTGCTGACCCCCACCCCAGACTGACTCAGGAGAACGGTGCTATGTGTGCATGCTGACATGTGCATGCACTCACGTGCAGCTGCATGCCAGGGAGAACCTGCGGTTCTGACCCATGCCCAGCTGGTGTGCGAGAGCTGGCCACACTGCCAGAGCTTGCACCCCGTTCCCCCACTTGGCCCATCCCACACCCCCAGGCACATGAGGCACACGTGAGGACAGGTCTCCAGCACGGCATGGTTTTCACAGCACAAATGCCCAAAGACTCTGTCCATCAAGGCAGGAGGTGGTGAATTCGATTCCTGTGCACCCTGACCTGGGGTCCTGTACACCCACAAAACCAGCCCTGGGGAGCCAGGGCCTGAGGTCTCCCCTCAGCCATCACAGCTGAGTTTCTCACTCCCTCTTCACATCCCAATAGCACCAAGCAGTGCCAGGGCCACCCTGTCACCCACTCACACAGCTCATCCCACTGCGAGGCAGGTGGGATCCTGTGGGCCTGGCAGCCCCCCACGTTTTGGAACAAATCCAGCTGCCGACCAGAAGGCAACTCATGCAAATTCAGGAGTAGGATCATCAGATAAAATACAAGATGCCCAGTTCAATCTTAACTTTAAATAATGAATAATTTTTTATATAAGCGTATCCCATGTAATTTGGGGGACATAGTTATAGGGCAAAATTATTCATTGTTTACCTGAAATTCAAATTTCACTGAGCATCTTCTATGTTTATGTTAACTCTGGCAACCCCAAAAAGAAGCCAACCCCCCCCCACACTGGTGAGGAATGACCAACAGCTGAGCCTGGCACCCCAGGGCTCCCCACCTCGCCTGCGCCCAGCTTAGCTCTACAGGTGACGCGGTGGGGACAGTAATAGTACCAGGACAGCGCGCTGTGAGGATAAACAGAGCTGACCACAGAGCTGACCCCCCTCCCCCGCCCCTGGGTAGGACAAACATCCTGGGGGGCATCACAGGGATTTCTCATATGCCCCTTGAGAAGAATTGGACTTCCTTTTCAAAATGCTGTGACTGGCGACCTCTGGGTGGGCCAGGTGCCAACGGAACAAGCCTTCACTTGGTTCCTGCCTGCACATTTCTGAGTCAGGAGCCGGGCCCTGGTTTGGGTCCCAACAGTGGGCGGGAGACGCCCCCTAGAGGTGAGATGTGTGCGCTGCAAGTCCTGGCTGGCGCTGGAGCGCACATCTCACCACCCAAGCTGGCAGCGCTTGGGGGGGGGGGTCCCCAGGAACCTGAGGGGAGGAGGCTCTCCACTGGAAGAAGGCAGGGACGGGGTGGGGTGAGCAGAGAGCGAACCCGGCAGACGAACAGGGCCCCCAAGGTGTCCAGGGCGCAAGGTAAAAGCCCCTTGAGCTTTTACCGCAGCTAGTGGCCCTGGGCCGTTGAAGAATCCTCTCTGGGCCACCTCCCCCTCCTGGCATTGTGGGGACTGGCATTGCCAGCAGCCTCCTTCACAGTTGACCCGGCTTTGCGTCCACCCGGCTGTCCCGGGGAGTGAGGCTGACCAGAGACCGCACCGGCCAACTAGCAGCGCTCAGCAGCGTGCCTCCATCTGGTTACTACGAAGCCTGAGCCGTGTCGGGACACAGAGCGGACGGCTGGCAGGGTAGCCCACCCTCATCAATAATACACCTGGGATATGCGCCCTTGCCGGTCCCATCGCACGCAGGAGGAGACTGAGGCCTAAAGAAGCTCAGAGCGTTGCTCACTCGCAAGCCGGCGGGCCGCAGAGGAAGGGGACCCGGAAGCCCAATCGAGAGTCTACACGGCCGGGAGGTGGAGAGCGCAGTGCTCGGCGGGCTCCGCGCCAGAGCATGGCGGGGGCGTGGCTTTGCGGGAACGGGGCGGGGACAGGCGGGACAGGGGCGGAGCCGGAGGCCCTGACGGGCCTTGATTGGGCGCTGCCTTGAATTCGTCACCGGGCTGCCGCCAAGTTAGCGGCACGGCCCCGGCCCCGCCCCCGGTGCCGACCAGCCGTTAACGCGCACTCGGGCC